GAAAGGCGGTTTGACGATCTTACCAGGTTGGTTTAACCTCTCGATTAGATACCGTGTTTCGCCCTACGGATCTTCTTTAAGATCGCGTGTGTATCAGTTTGCTTCCCAGCGCAGAGTACTGAGCACTGATGCCAGAATCGTGGGATCGACGGGCTCGCATCGACGGCATCGACCTCCTTCGATCAGCACCCGGTGGGGATCGATGCGCACGCATTCTTAATAGATAGTGGGGCATCCCCATTCCGATTCTATGACGTGCTCGCGAGCTCCGTCGATTCTTGCAATGATATGGATCGCTACTGTGCACCAACACCTAGATATCTCTGTGTGTGTCTCTCCAGAGCTCGTCTATGTAATCGGAACGGTTACAGTTATTTGAAATTTTTATTTAAATAAAAATTTACCCATCTCTGGTATCAGAGGTGGGCAACTGATCGTTCATGAGTATCGCGCGGCTGGAATTTCTCCTTTCGATGAGCGTGCGCAAACAGTTGCCCACCACCGATATAAATGTACGAGTATAATTATAAGATCTAATTTTTATTTTACTGTTTCAGTTAAAAAAAATGATTAAAAAAATCATGTACAGCGACCGTCGCGGTGGACGGCGCGTAGCCGGCGCGGCGGCCGGCGCAGTGGCGGGGGCAGCCGCCCCATATATGTCAATAATTATTTTCATTTAAATAGAACATTTTTGATAATATGAAGATCGTACTTTTTTTCAAATCCTTCAATTAAGGGCCTCCTTTGCCACTGGTCTCTTACCGGAGGAGTGGACGGCAACAAAAGTTATATTTTTGCCCAAACCAGGTAAATCGGACTATTCTACACCCAAGGCCTTTAGGCCCATTAGTCTGACGTCGTTTACGCTGAAAACGGCGGAGAAACTCATGGATAGATATATCAAAGAATATGTCTTTCCGATCACACCATTACACGATAAGCAACATGCTTTTCGAACAGGACATTCAGTTGAGACGGCATTGCACAATGTAACATTGGCAATCGAAAAGGCGCTAAAAGTAAAGCACTATACCATCGGATGTTTCTTGGATATAGAAGGAGCATTCAATATGACATCAGTGGAAGTCTTGGTAACGGCAATGGATGAATTTAATCTTTACCCGAAACTTACGATGTGGATTACCAATATGCTGACTAAAAGAAGGTTAGTAGCAACCAGAGGGGGCCATACGGTTTCAGGGTACGTAAACAAAGGATGCCCGCAAGGAGGGATATTATCACCACTATTATGGTGCTTGGCGGTAAATTCGTTACTACAAGCATTGGAAGGATGCGGTGTAATTATATCAGCATACGCGGATGACGTAGTGTTCTTGGCTATCAGCGGAGATATCCAGGAGGCATACGATAAAGCACAGGAGGCATTGGAAATCCTTAAGATGTGGTGTGATAGTACGGGGCTATCGGTCAATCCAGATAAACTGGAGGTGGTACGCTTTACTAAGCGAATAAAGATACCAGCAACAGAACCACTAAGATACGAAGGTAAAGAACTAAAGTTAGTGGATGAAGTAAAGTTTTTAGGAGTCCTGTTCACTAAGAAGCTATTGTGGAGAAGACACGTTTTTAACAAAATCACGTGTGGAAAGAATAATTTATACATGGTGAGTAGAGCAATCGGTGGAACATGGGGCTTTTCCCCTCGCATAACAAATTGGATATATAAATCCATAGTGGTGCCAAGGGTGACCCATGGTGCCATTGCCTGGTGGCAGGCGGCAAAGATGACTACGGTAAGGAATAAACTTAATAGTCTCCAAGGGTTGGCGCTGAGAAGAGCTCTGGGTTCGTTAAGTACTACTCCATTGAGAGCAATGGAAGTACTAACGAATACAACCCCGTTGGACACGGTTATTTTAGACATTGCAGTTCGAACGGCGCATAGGCTGAAATGCTGGAATAGCTGGACCGAGAATGGATTTGGGCACGCGTCGATTGTGCAAAGCGAGGCGAATGTAGAGCTGAATCAATGGATGAACAAGACAGATGCGCTCTCAGTATGGTGCCGCAGCAACTCTTTCAGGTGATAATACCTACCAGGGAACAATGGAGAGCGAACGAAATACTTACGGGAGATCATATTAACTGGTTCACGGATGGATCGGGCAGAAACGAACTGGCAGGAGCCGGTTGGACGAATGGGACTACGGAAAGGCATTATGCTAGTTTGGGACGGAATGTGACGGTTTTCCAAGCGGAAGCCTACGCAATAACTAAGTGTGCGCAATTACTTATGGATAAAGGTACGAGTCGGAAGGTTATATGTATTTTTACCGACAGTCAGGCGGTGTTGCTGAGTGTACAAAGGCGCATGCATACATCGGTAACGGCTAGAAGATGCAAGGAGCATCTTAACGAACTGGCGTCTAGGGGCAACAAGGTAATGTTGTGTTGGGTGCCGGGTCATAAAGGTATTCCAGGTAACGAATTGGCGGACAGATTGGCGAATATGGGGTCAGGTAGAGCACCTCCGGAGGGGGTACCTAGGCTGGTGCCGTTAGCAGAAGCGGTATTCACTCTCGGTAGGAAGAGATGGTGTTTGGAACAGAGAAAGAGGAAATGGGACACAGCAGTAGGATGCAGAGTGGCCAAAAGGTTGATAGGGCCGAATCCAATTTACAAAAATTGGAAGGAGCTAATGGATCTTCCGCGAGAGGACACGCGGAGGGTGGTGGGATTATTAACAGGTCACGCCATATTAAATCACCACTTAACGCGAATGGGGGAGTTGCAGGATGAGTGCTGCGAATTTTGCGAGGAAGAGGTAGAATCGGCAGAACACATCTTGATGCGCTGCCCAAGATTGATGGAACCCCGGTTTAAGAGGCTTCGTAAAGCGATACTGGAAGCCGAGGATGTACCCCAGTTATCGGTGAAGGGAATTCAGGAATTTGCACAGGATGTAGACAGGATTAGACCAAGGGAGGAGGAAGAGGAGGAAGAGGAGGTGTGGTGAAGAGTTAAGTAGAAGGGGAATTCAGGAGACGGAAAGAAGAAGAGGAAGGAGGGTGGGTACGGAAGGGGTCATAGAGGAGCGGGAAGGGGCTGGGTAGGGGTGGGAAAGTTAATGCTTCTTTTTAAGTTTTCAGAAAAATAGGTAGTATAAGATTAAATGAAGGATGTCGAAATGGATAAGAGAAGATTACATTACGATCAGAAAGGAAGGCAGAACGGAATATAGATATCCTAATATCAGCGTACGGACGGAGGAATGAAGGGAGGTGTCATGTCGGTTGAAAGATATGTAGCAATGTAATAAAAACAATAGTAGGAATAAAAAGAATAAGACAAAATAATGTGTGTTGAGTTGGTGGAAAACCTGAGGGGGGTATTCGATAAGAATGAATGAAGGGGAGGAGGGGGAATAAGGGAGGGAGGGGTAATTCTGGATTTACAAGGGTAGGATGAGCAGACAAAGGTAGAACGAGGGAGGCAAATCCGGGCAAAGGAAAAAGGGAATAGTGATAGTAGAAGGGGCGGGAGAAGGTTAAGGGGGGAAACGGGGAAGGGTATTTATGCGATTACATACATAATAATATAGTAAGTAGGGGTAATAAGAATAATAATAGGGAGAGGTATAGGATTGGGGGGCGATAAGCCGATTAGATGTATACTCCTTAGATTTCCACGCGCGACGCGACTCCGGGAAGGACAGGGATAAAGGGGTCCGGAAAGGATATAATAGCAATAAATGTCAAAATCAGGCTCCGGATATACATGGGGGAGGGGGTTTTGGGAGATGCCACTTAGGAAACCTGGCTTCGTAAGAAGAAAGCACGTTAGGGATATGAAGCGGGAATAGAAAGAGTGGGGCTAGAGTTTGCCCCAAAGCTCGGCCTATGAAGACCATCCGTGAAGAGGGAGGGTGCAGGATGGGAGGAATCGGTGACTCCCATTCAGACACGAAGCTCCCTCTCAGTCCCCCCCTGAACCCGAGAGGATAACCGGATCACCTACCGGGAACCCCTAAGGGTGAAGGGATAGGATGCTACAGGATTCCCGGTGGAAGTGGGTACAAACGTGGATCCCACCTGAAAAGGAGGTGCGATGGGATACGAGTCGTGAGGGGAGCGAGCAAAAGGGGCTGTCACAGCCTACTGGCACGCTCCCCGTAGACCATTCGTGAAGAGGCGGCACGGGGGAAAAGATAGATGGGGAACCCTGTCGACTCCAGCCGTATTTCGCCTCTCAGTCCCCGCTATGACCCCAGGACGACGGAAAACTCTTTTTTAGAGCCAGTACCCTCCACGGGAAGTCACGGTGGCGAGCACAAGATTCGCGGAGGACAACGGACCGCGTGGGTTCCGGGAGGTAGCCTGGGAGTGGTAAGGGCCCGGAACCCGAGGACCGTCCGTGAAGCGGGGAGGTAGAGGTATCCGTCCACGGACGGAATACCAGATACGAAATTCCCCCTTCGTCCTCGGAATAGAGTAAGATAGGAGCCGGGGAGTCCGATCGCTGACGTTGGCACAGGCATGCGTACACCGAGCGCACATACGAACACTTGCTTGTGCGGACGTTCAGTGGGCAAAGGACACCGATACCGAGGAGCTGGCGGGATAGCGGACAAGGACGCGTGGTCAAGCCCTGGATTTGGAGGATCTACGGATGGATGCTCTTGGAACGGGGACAAGCCACTAAACGCCAGGATCGCTCATTCGGGCCCGAGGGGCGGGGGCCGTTCCAGGTATATAACCCTTCGGGGGCCTGGTCGTGCCATTTGAGCAGATTTTCACGCGACGGGGCCCGGATGCGATACCGGACAGTGGGGTGTATACTGGTAAACCGAGTCTCGAAAGTATGAAGAGCATCACTTTGCGAGACATCGGCCCAACGAGCCCCACGATCATCGTATTCTGGAAGGCAGTTCATTACGGACGGAGCACCAGACGTATAGTACGGCATTACTGAAAATAGGCCCCAAGTGCCGGTAAAACACCGTGACCCTGGAACACATATGTCGACGGGTCACGGGGGCGTTTGGCACACGCTGCAACGATCCGTGGTACGCCGGAGAGAGAGAGAGCATCAACCATCAGGGACGGGTGCGCTCTTCGACCCAGAACGCGGGCGGTGGTCCCTGATGAAGCTGATATTTACTCTTCGGAGAAATTTCGGTAAAGTCCGGTGGGCTGTCGTCTCGCGTCGTGTTCCTTGCAGACTATAGGGGGGGGGAGGGCGCGATCTACTCTATTCCGTTTTCCTCACTATTAAACTCACACACCCAGCTTTCGATTAGACTAGATTCACATGGCGGTGGATTCATTTATGGTCCACCGCGGCTCCCAGGGGAGGTGATCGCCGAACCCGACCACGTCTCTCCTTGAGGTCGGCTAGAACGGCCTCCCCATGTATCGCTATCGGAGTCTCGGGACTCCCTCCTTGTCCTTGAAGGGGGGTGGTAATTTTGTGAGGGGTAACCAGAGGAGGGGGGGCTCCTGAATTATTAGGGACATAGGCAGGTAACTGACTAGGGGGTTGAAATAGGCGATACAGCTCTCTCTCGATGATGGAACGTACGCAAGCACGATGATTCCACCCCTGGTACAGACTCGGTCTGTGGGTGAAGCAAAGAGTGAGCCGGTACTCACTTTGGAGACGAAGGATCGGTTGCCCCGACGACCATACTCCTTTAGCTAATTTTATTAGGTAGGGATGGGACGATCCTAGTGACTCTCCGCCCCCCGCGCGAGTACTTCCTCGCCTCCATGTGGCCCGGGCCTAAAAAAGTTGGTCGGGTTGGAAAGCCGGGGGAAATAGTATCCCCGGGTAACGCCCACCGTAGTCCTATTGCAGGGCTGTGAGATAGCTACCAGCGTTTGAGCCACAGCTGCGGCCTTGGGGGGGAAATCGCACCTCCCCTCTCCCGGGAGACCTGAGCATTAACTAACTAACTACGTCCCGCTTTGCGGTCGTTACTCTACTTATAATTTCGGGTCCTGGCTCTTTTAAGGTGCTAAAGCACGCCCTCTCTAAACTTACCCGTGAAGTACGCAGTTTGGATTTGGAACGGGAGGAATAGGAAATCACTCTCGCTTATAATAATAATAAAGATACATTCTAACAATAAAAAAATAAAATAAAAGATACAAATAAGTCTTAACATACCAATGGTGATGAAGATGAATGATACGTTCGTATCGCTTTAGTCGATTCGGAATTCGGATTTCGGGTCCTTGAAAGGGCGGAAGACTCGCTGGCGCTCGGAGCCGTGATACAGGGTTTAAGCACTGCGGGATACGTTGTCGCCGTCTCGGACGTTGCACTTCGCGGTCCGGTGTCTTATAAAACTCGTCTGTAGGCCGCGCGTAATCGCAAGGTCGCGTCGTACAAGGAACAGATATCGTCGCGATACCCGAACTGAACAGCTGTGACCGTTGTCGCTCAGCCCGCTGTCACGTATAAGAGATTAAAACGGAGCGCGATTGTCGAAGAGCGAACGAACAAGGCGTAGAAGAATGTCACACGAGCCGAATCTGTCACGATGTAAATGAGAGCCAGAATACTGTCTTCTTTCCCGGTTTTGAACAATCCTTTTTATAAGTTCTTCCCCCCTTTCTTTTGTTAGAAAAACGCGCAAGATAAGGGGTAGCAACAGACTATGATTCTTTTGTTAGAAAAACGCGCAAGATACGGGGTAGCAACAGGCTATGATTCACGATGGTCGCCGAAGCGCAGTTTTAGAATCGCTGACGTTTCCGTCAGCGTCTCGAAAAAGGACAACCGCGCCCGTTGCTTCTACGTGTCGCTGTATTAACGGTTTTCGCTCGTTCTTCGCGTTTGAATGTAATATGATAAAAGTGTGCAATGAAAAGAGGTTGTGAGAATACAGGATATAACATATGCAACAACAATATTTCATTTGCTCCTCGTTAATAAGTTCATATTGAGATATCTGACTATTGATTATTATAAAAGAGATCAGGAGCAATTTTTTGGTACCATAATATTTGTGTAAAAAGGCCATTTACTACCTATTTTGCAAACAACAAATTTTTGCTTTTTCATTTGTGAATATCTCAGTAACTACAAACGGTGCTGTGAGAGCAATTTCTAATTCGGAAGGAGCAAATTGGGAGCAATTGTTTTGAGATATAAATCGTTAATATTCGGCGCCAGATATTTTCCGGTCGAAAAGTCGGGCCTACCTCCCAGGGCTCTTCTTTATTGGAACAGACCATAAGAAAGGTTTAAATTATTTAATATCATCTGGATTTCAGAGATGGGGTTAATAGTATATCTGTATCAAAATCAGTCTGGGAACTTGTTGAACGTACCGTAGACGGTAATGAAATTCAAAAATACGTACTGGCACCGAAAAGTTATAATAATTACTTAGAAATAATCTATGATGTGGAAAGTAGATCTTTAAAAATAAGGTAGACTGAGTTATTCTTAGTAAGAAATGAATCATTTTTTTGTCAAACCTAATAGTGTCCTCTATTTTAAGAAACCATGGAGAGAATAAATTTATATTCCTAAGAGAACATGTATTCTACAATTTAAACTTTCAGCTTTTTAATAATACCATTTCTTATAATAATCAGTTTCACAAGGCGTATTTTTAGCAAAGTGACTCCTACTGAAAAATACTTAGTAAGTGAAATCACAGAGAACTTATGAATATTTAAGTTTTCATTTGAATTCAGCTAACATAAGCTACATAAAAAGTATGAGCTACAAAGTTACATTATCGAAAAGTCATACCTTCTACGATTCCCGTGTGCCAGAATATATTCGAACACGTACATTTTTCGCTTCCCACTTTAAGCACTCATAATCGTAAATACACAAGTTTACCGAGAAAAAGCAATAACATTACAGCATTACCGAAATTGATATTGGTACCCTCCACTTTTATTTACTTTTTTCCTATATGTTTTTAAATAAGATTTTGAGAACTTCAATCAATCACGGCTACGACATTAACCTTAACTTCAAATTCGCGCGTGATTCCCGTTGCAGTACTTCACGTCATTCTGTAAAACTCGTTAAAAAGTTCCAGATGCAACAACGATCGTGCGAGGAAACTGTAGGCAAAGAAAATGATCACCCGAACAATCCCGTTTCACAAAAGACTAAAATAATTTCAAGAAATTGTGATGATAATTTATTAAGCAGGTTACAGTCTTTTGAAAATCCCATTGTACACATTGCACACACACGCGTGTTACCAGACTCTGGAACGCAAGAAAACCGTTACGACAATCGAAATAATGAATTTAGTGACGAACAGAAAATGATCGATAAATGTGGTCGAGTATTCTGTATAGAATCACACTCGAATGGTCAACTGTACGAAGAATACATTTTCAAATTATCGATCAATCGAGAAATAAAACTGAAATGTCCAGCCGTATTAGACAATAACGATACAGTTAATCAAATGGAGTTTGTCGATAACGAAATTGAATATGACAAAGCTTCGCTAGACCGAATTATAATATTTCTGAAAAATGTATACGCGTCTGTGAACATCAAACAAACCGGAATACCTTGTGGAACGCAAACAACAAAACTAAAAACTTCTAATAGCTCTACGCAAACGGCAGTGACTGGAATAAATTCGTTTTCACGCTTGAACGCTGGCGTCACGGTGAGTACACCAAACTATTTATTTACAAATGTTTTGTTCGGACAACGCGATTTAAAATTGAAACAATTAGAATCCGAGTAATCACATATTATGCCGGTTTTTAACGATGAAAAAACTAATGAACAATGAAATTTTGCTTTTTAAAATAAATTGTATTTACTATTAGTCGACACTTCCCAGGAACGAGTCGCGTTTATGTAGAACATTTATGTATTTCCGGAATTTTCTAGTATTACAACTAATCTGATTTCGAACAAGGCTTAAACTAACGAAAGCTTTGTGTTATTAAATATAACCATACTCTTAAAAAGACAATTGTTTAGATACTTATATTTCATACAATACCCTTAAAAACATACATCAATTTTTCTAAAATGATTGGTACAAAATGTAGAAATTTTTCGAATTAAACAGATGCTCAATAGCGAGAAACGTGGAATAGAGAGAAGTCTTTATAATTTGGAACGAACCGTCAAGATCCTAAAATGCACCGCACTAGATCAAGCTCGAACTACAATCGATAAGAATTCACAGTTCCGTGCGGACAGTAAATTGTTTGACTGCATCAGGGTATTGAGTCAATAACACTGGGCATATCAATATCTTTCGTTCGCGGAGGTACACAAATGCCTAACATTACAACGATGTTCGTAACATTTAACAGTATCAATCTAGGGTTTGTATAACTGTAATAATACTTTTACTATTTAATTGTACGTAAAAAAATACCACTAGGAGCAACTGGTGAAGACAATCACGTACTTAGAAAGGTATTAGCCGTTATTCGTGTTTGTTATTGAAAAATGTTATCAGACGAATCTTAGAGGATATCCATAGGCGTACCATGTACATTGTTTACGCATATATAAAATAATGTACACAGTCGTATGTTTAATAGTATTTAAAATTTTAATAATTATTACACTAATTGAGTAAGAATTGAATATTATATACTTAATCTGCTTTTCTCAAAGATAGAAGTGCAACCTACTACATTCACATGTGTTATAGAACTTGTGTTTTTTTAAACAATCTCAGAAGACTTATCTCTTTAAAATCGAAGTGCGATATCGTTACAAACACGTACGTGAAAAATTTATTAAAAATGTGAAATGCAATCTGTGGAAAAATACATACATACATCGTGTAAACTTTAAAAGGTAAATCTTCAGTACTTCTTTCGTACAGTTCGTTCGCATATATAGTTCTTTAACACTCGATCCATCATTCTATATTAGTTTTAATTACAGAGATAAAAACACGAATAATTAATCTACGTTTTCCCTGTAAGTAACAATGAAAATTTAATTTATAATAAACTGTCTCTTATAATTACATTTATTTGTCTTGGCAAATAAAATAAATAGTTTCAGCATGCTTTATATATCTTAATTACTTAATATGTTGATTCTTAAATCTTAGAAAGACAATATCAGAAACAGGCAATCAATTTTTGTGTGAAATACGTTTTAAAACACGATATTTAAAACGATTCAGGAAACATTTTCCCTCTTGTGTGCACTTTTTCATTCTCTGACTCTCTTGCATTTTCTTTCTTTCTTTACTAATATCCTACTTTTATTATCAAAAAGATTCAAAATTGTTTGCTAGATACTTATTTATACCTATACTATTCTCCTTCTCTCACTTGTTTTTGAGTATACAGTAAATTGTTTCTAGAAAGGGAAACAAATTTCCTTCAGCAGCTCTAATCTATCTTTTCTGTTTCTTATGTCTGTTTGAGAATGTTCGATTGTAATCAATGTGATGGGCCTGGCACTAGGAATTTGCATTCCTAGTGATACTTTGAACAACGCGTTGTCCCCACCAGGCTTCAAGGTTGAATGGTTCAAAATCTAAAAATATAATCAAAGGATACATTATTTTGATGTAATTGTATTTTAAAACATTGAGACAATTGTGCTAAATACCTTTTAACTGTGGATTGGGTTCTCTTTCTTGATAATATGTAACAGTTGCTCCATTCCTATAATTAGAAGAATTACTGTGTGGTTGATTGTGACACAGATCCAGTTCTCTAGATACTGTATTCCATGCTGTAACAATAAAAGTTTTGTCTGAACAATATACTTTTAAAAACAATTCATTGAACAACAATTCTATGATATACTTTGCTTACAGTCATAAATATATTTAATTAGATCAAAATGTTGAGCTATGGTTTCAGATTGATGTCGCAATGGGATTGAGGATGGTCTCTTTCCATTCATCGCAGTCATTTGTGATCTTCCGCTATAAACAATACATTCCACTTCAGTCATAGAAATTGAAACCAAAAATGAACTTGATTAAAATGTAGACAATTTACTAAGACATAGTACAAGTGCTGAGCTATAACTATGTTAAAGCAATACAGTTCATTGAATCTTTAAAATTATCTATATAAATCTTACAGTATAAATTTATTTATAATAATCTTACACAAAATTAAAATAAATATATCAGTGGAATATTCATGTATGGATATATAGACATTAACATAATTTGTAAAATGCCTATCATTAAAGGTTAAAAAATACTCATAAAATTCAAGCATAATAACAGCAAAATGTTTACTAAAACTCATTGACATATGTTTAAATTATAGAGAACATGCAGTAGAGGAGAATAGCCGCCATCTTATTCAAATGCGTCTGAAAATCTAACCTTTTGCTTCGTACAATAACATTACATTTAATATTTCATATACTTGTGAAAATAAGCAAATATTAATATGTTAAAAGCAGAACTACAAACAAAAGTGGCTTATAAAATTGGTTTAATTAACAATGAGTCTACCCTATCATCCTACGCAAGAGGCTCTATCTCATTAGTAACCACGTATAAATCTAGACTTCCTACTGACATGTCATTCCAGAAATGTTTTCGGTAAAAAAGCACTGACAAAACATAATGTCGAAAATTTGTTATGAGAAACTTGAAACGCACTAGACAGCCGTAAAAATTTTTGCGTATCAAGCAAATATGATACGATTAATATTATAAAGGCTACTTTAAAGAGAAAACGTCACTGGAAAAGATGGCGGTTCGCGCATAACACTTAATGTAATGCTATATGGTACCCGCCTGTTTCTCCCTTTATCCATTTAATATTATTACTTTCTTAATTCTCACGGCAACGGTATAACTTACGATTCACCAAAAATACACAAGAGATAGCATACGTTGAAAATAATTTGACACATGACAAGGATGCGTACCAAACAACCAGACGCAGAGACGCAAGAAGAAAGAAAGTAAATTTCATAGATAAATACCTCATTTTTCTCCGTTCTGCGTTAACTTCTTCAGTAGCGGCTCGCCGTCGAGACTACAGCTTTGCAGTTCAATTTTCTACTCAGTTTCTAACAAAGCGTGTGAACACTATTAATGAAAACAAAAAGTCGCGAAGCTATGACAAGAGAGAGCGTTTGTTTCTTACAACAGCTCCAGCAAGCATCGCCGACAAGAACTGTCAACAATAATCGCTTGAACACGATGCTTAAGTGATAAAGTAGAAAATTAGACATGCAATACAGTAGGCGATCGTTTATTGCAACCTTCGGGACTGTAGAGGGCCAGAATTCCAGGAAGATACAATAAGGAAGCTCCAATCACCCGCGCGCTCTCCCCTCCATTCGACCGTTCAGTTGTGCAACACATTTACGATCATCTTCATTATCTTCGTTATTTTTGGAGATATTAGGAAAGTTTATTCACAGAAGTTGTTTAGTATAGAAAGGGCTATTAATTTGCAGTAACAATTTTTTCGTTGATGAGGATATCCTGAGTTTTCAAGATTAATTATGTTTCCTTTTTAATGATACTGAAATATTGTGGAATAAAAACATTTTTGTACGTGTGTGGATTCTTCTAAACATTCTGCGTAATAAAGTATTAAGGTAATATGTGAAAAAAGTTAATAATTTGTGAGATATGTTATACACAAAATGTAACAAACTGTTAATTTTTTCTCGACCTATAACAACATTATATCTGCTATGTTATAGTCCTTCTGATACTGGATAAGTTTTATGAATAAAATTTGTTTATACCTGTAGGAATAATGAAGATAATTAAAGTGATCAAAGTTACTGGACCATTGTTTATAATGCATGTATAATTCAACAGTAGTTTCATTTATTCTTCTTTATTCAAAACAATGTAATCAATAAAATGAATATTTGAATTTGTTTAATTGTGACATACAAAATGATTAACAGCTACATTTGCTTATTAATTATCTTATTTATGTACAGAAGTGTAGAAAAACACAAGTTAGTGATTGCAACAAAATACAGTAAGGAGCAAAACTAAACCAATGTGACTATTTTTCCAAGAAAATAAGTTATTCATTTAGATGCTACTAATATGGCATAACAGAAAAGCTCATCCTGTATATGTATAATTGTACACCCATTTCAGTTTAATAGACGATTAATGTTTTAACTTCATTACATTGAGTTTACTAGGTATAATATTTTACTTCTGACTCATAATCAGTCATCATGACATATTCAATGTTAAATTTTCATAATATCTTTAAGATATTCAATCCTATTATTCTACGATTTTATTATTGAGAACTGTCTGTTAATATTTTCAAGTAGAGATTACTGGACAAAGAATGAAACATTTACCAATACTTTTATACATATATTCAGAAGTGCCTTGGAAGTAAAATATTACAAGTAAGAAATTGAAGAGAATATACTGAAAAAATTAATTGTTTCTTAAGTGGAAGTAGTTGTACAATAATATACAGGTTGAGATTTTTAATTATTTCATATATGTAATATTTATAGGAATAATCATTTATATAAAACAGTATTATTGGTTCAGCTTTACTTTGTACTATTGTAATAAATGTTGCACTATCACGCTAATGAGGAAAACACATTTTTTTAAATAGGTATTAATCTCATTCATAAACTCCATATGTATCAATTTTTAACTTTTTGTAGCTTTTCAATTTCTATGATCAACCACCTTAAAGACATTTAATACTCTTATGCCCAAAGAGGTTATGCCCAACACTGACTTTGTTATAAGTTTATCTGCTTACATAACTACTTATATTCAATATGAATTAAGCATAATACGAAATGTAGTTGATTATAACTGAAAACATTGAAACATTTTATTAAAACAATATTGTTTACACTTCGCTTTCTGTAGTGAAATATATGAATAAAACGCGACACCGTATGTGTTCCGGCCTGAGTGTGCTGGGCGACAGAGTAGGGTACGCGCGCGTGCGTGAGAAATACGTGTGACCAAAGAGCGTGGTTTTCTTCGTGCAGATAACGGTGGCGCGGAAAACGCATGTCTACTGTATATTTAATGAGATATTGCAATATTTCTAGAATTCTGCCCCTCATCAGCCACGAAGGCTGCAATAAACGAGCGCCGACTGTACATGACTTCGTAATATTACTTAACAATTCATGACTACATAATATTTCTTAACAATTTATATCTTAAAAAATTGCTCCTGGTTTGCTCTTTCCGAATCTAACGTTGCTCCCATTGCAACGTTTATATTTAATGAGATATTTGTAAATAAAAAAGCAAAAATTTGTTATCTTCAAAATAGATAGGAAATGGCCTTTTTACAAAAAGATCATGGTACCAAAAAGTTGCTCCTGATCTGTTTTATAATATTCAATGGTCAGATATCTTAATAACAACTTATCAACAAGGAGTAATTGAAATAATGTTGTTGCATACATGTGATATAGGTTATGGCGTCATACATGACAATTGTGTTGGTACCCCGGTTTCCGTTAGGGGAAAAAGTGGCATAAGAGTGTTAGACCGAGTTCGAGAGCAAGCGACTGTAAAAGCATCGAAATTTCAGCCTCATTGTCGCTGCGCTTTTAATAAAATCTGGAACCTAACGTTTTCCCGGACTCAGGCAGATTTAGGGTAATTGTGAGAAAGTGACTCGTGATATAACCGTTCAATGCGTTTATTTGGTGCACAAAACCACAACGTATTCGTTGTGAATTAACGACGTTACTTTGTAGTTTATCGGCGAAAATAAATACGCGACAATACAACATAAGAGAAAATATGAATTAAGAGGACGATCTCTTAACGAACGCGTTGCAAAATACGTAGTACGATCTTTTCTGTTTCACGGATTCGAACTAACTGAACTATCGCTGATCGGTTACGGCCGACGCCCAGCGATTTCAAACCGACCGTTGCTGTGTATAGAGTGTTCCCTTCTCTCTCGCTCTTCCTTTCGTAGCAAGCTCTCTTGCTCGCACGCGTAGCAACACGTACGTGTTCCGTCTCTTCGTACAAAGTCAGAGAAGAACAACATTTACAGTATGTTTTCTCCTCGTCGCCCTGGTACGAAGAATCATGGTCGACTGTGGTCTTGAACGGGAGATACTAACACACGAGAACTAACACACCGCCCTCCGTTGCATGAATGCCAAAACAAAAATTGTTTCCCTTTCAACTAAATTCAACAAAACAAAACGTGCTCACTTTGTTACCGCGGTACCATTGATTAAAAAGAAAAATAAAGGGAAATTGCCGTAAAAAGGAAAATAAAGTGAAAACTAGAAAACGAGAAAAAGGAAAAGGTATCTTTGCGGCGGAACGAAATAACTAAAAGCTTGTTAGGCTCCAGCCTAGTGGTGGCGACAAGCACGCGGGTTGAAGGGAGTGGTCCCCACCCGTGCCCGAGCCGGTCCCGTTTCTCCGCCGGGACGAAGCGCAGGATGTATCGACCATTCGGTTAATCCGCCCGGTGGTAAACGTGTGAGGGCACCTCGATGGTGCGGACCGGCAGGCGGACTTCTAGGACGCCGTTCGACGACCGCTCCGGCGACGGGTTGGGGCGGCGCCGAGCCGAGTCGTGCTGTGCCTCGTGAGCGCACGACCACTCACGCTCTTGCGCGGCGCGGTGATACAGTCCCAAGGGTCCATTTTGACCCGGCCTGGGCAACGGAGGTTCGTTAACCGTAGCGCGGCCTCGGCCACGTTATCACGGTCCGGCGTGGGCGGGAACGGGTCCTGGGGGGTCCCTGGTGGTCGGGCACGGTTCCTGATTCGGTGCCGGACGTCGTCCTTCTGGAGTTCCCGCTGGTCGACGGTGGGCATCCCCGTACAGTCCTGGGCACACTCAAAAAAGTCCACCTTGCCACACCGGTGGCATTTTCGGCTGAGCTCGCCCTTGTCTAGCGTCTAACACACGTGGTGATACATCTTTCCGACGTGGTGAATCATTTAAAACTGCTGACTCTCGTAACCGCTCCCGCTCCTGAAACTTAGAAATCATGTGGGAGAATCGTTTTCACTCAGGGAAGGGCTAATCTCTTTAGCTCCGCCTGTGTTTTGATTCGATTAGTTTGAGAGAGCAAACCCTTGTGGGCCTATCCTTGTCTTAGCTTGAGGACAACGTTCAGACTGGTATTCTTCGTATCCGACGAAGACCGCGAAACAACACCTCAGGTTCCTAGAGTACTGTTGGAACGACCAAAGTGCTATAAGAAACAAGGTTATTAGTATTGTCCTTTGGTAACGTCGCGATTAGAATCGAAATGAATTTCACGTGTGTTTATGTAGCCTCGCGTATGTTTTCTTCGCTCACCGTTGACTTTTTTAGTCAACCGGGAGCTTCCCTATACGCATTATAGGTCGGCTGTAGGTGGAGCTTTTGGATTTGACCTCCACCACACGAACAATTCCATTCTTACTCGGATGGATTTTCACGACTGCTCCTAACTCCCAACGATTGGGAGGGTGGAGGGAGTTCTGTACTACTACACTATCCCCTGTCTTCAGTTGTGACTGAGTTGTCTGACATTTATAACGCTGCTGTAGATCCTGCAAATAGTCCTTGGACTATGATTTCCACATTTGCTCGTTGAATTTTTGAAGGATCTGCCAACGAGACAAGGTGTTGACTCGTTCTTCCTCTACTGAGGGTATTGGCACAAGCGTTCAGCGGTGTTCCTACGAGAAAGTGGCCTAGTGTGAGCACCTCCAGACAGTCTGGATCGTCGCTCAACCGAGTCAACGGAAGCAATTCAAACCCGCTTCGATTTGGCGCTTCGATTATACGGCGGGCCCTGGTCACGTCCCTCCCGACATCGATGATGAGCTTGTCGTCCGCATAGCAGACGACACGCACACCGGGTGGGAGGGGCCCGCACAACGCCGAGTTGTACCCCAGGTTCCACAGAAGTGGGCCCAACACGGACCCCTGGGGCATTCCTCGGCGGACCCTTCGTCGCACCATAGTACCCCCCCTGACGGGGGTACTCCACCTCTCTGTCCGCGAGGTAGTCCCGGATCACGGCCCGCAGATACGGGGGCACTCCGTGTTCACAGAGCGCCCCGCGTAACGCGTCCCAGCGGAGGGTGTTAAAGGCGTTGGCCACGTCCAGGCTCACAGCCAACGCCACCCCCCGCCGGGAGACCGCCAGC